CATCACTCTGTTCCTCAATCTCCATTCACTGTGTTTCAAGATGGATATAAGGGAACCGTAGCCAATACTATTAGGGTTAACATATTCCTCAATATCCATTGAATCTGCTGCTCAAAGGGATAAAAACGTATAGGCAAATAGATTCCAGATCACCTCCTTCTGCACTCTCGTGAATGCTCAGATTGAACTTCAAGAATTAGGAAAAAGCACACCATCCATCAGATGACTAGAAATCACCACAAGGCCACAAGAAATATGGGAAAGCAAGAAAATACCTCTCCTCCAAGAAAAGAGAATAACTCTTCTTCATCCACAGACAGTTCAATGGAAATCATGGAAATGTCTGATAAAGAATTTAGAATATTCATAATGATGAAGCTAACAGAGATGGAAGAGAAGAGATATGGTGAACTCCAGAAGAGAAAGAAAGGAGATGACGAGTTCCAGGAGGTGAGGATATTCTTGCAAAATCTAAAAGAAGAAATATACACTATAAAAAAGAATCAAATAGACCTGTTAAAGATGAAGGCTATAATACAGGAAGTCAAAATCTCCCTTGAAAGTATTAAAAACAGACTAGATCATACAGAAAATAGAATCTCAGATGTAGAAGATAAAATTGCTGACCTAGAGAAATCCTCCACAAAGACTGAGAAAATTGCCAAAAAAAAAAAAAAAAATGAGAATAATATATGAAAAATAGTAGACACCATCAAATGTCCAAACATCCAGATAATTGGTATCCCAGAAGGCGAAGAGACTAATAAGGGCATTGATGGCATTGATAATCTATTCCATGAAATCCTGCAAGAAAACTTTCCAAACCTGGAGAGGCACTCAAAGATTCAGTCCCAAGAAATACAGAGGACCCCAAATAGAATCAACCCAAGAAGATCTTCTCCAAGACACATTATAGCCAGATTGACCAAAACCACAGACAAAGACAAGATACTAAGATTGGCAAGAGAAAAACGGCAAGTTACCTACAAAGGATATCTCGTCAGGCTAACAGCAGACCTTTCCTCAGAAACAATGTGAGGGAGGAAAGAATGGGAAAATATATTCAAAGTGTTAAGGTGTCCCGGCCCGCGGGACAGTTGAACAAGTTCCTTGGGGGAGGGAGTGAGAGATGGGACAAACACACGCACACACACTACGAGGTGCTGATCAAGTCATCTTCTTCCGTCTACTTCCGTTTATTGAGGAAAAATGGCGAGTTATATACAGCTGGTGGTCACCAATCGGTTGCCCGAAATGCAAATGAGATAGAACAGCATGAACCAATCATTGATGTGGGTGGATCTCTCCTGTTGCCTAGAAACCCAACCACTTCTGGGGAGAACAGTTGGTCACATGATTTCTGAGAAACGATTTGCTCAGTGAGAAAGTGAAGCCTAATGGTTTCCAAGATGGTGGATAGCTCAAGATGGCTCCCGTATGCAGTGCTCGCCACATTAAGGGAAAAGCCATTTCAACCAAGAATACTGTACCCGGCAAGATTGTCCTTCATGTGGGAAGAAAAGACAAAGACATTCTCAGATAGACAAAACCTGAAAGAATTTACCAGCACCAGACCAGATCTCCAAGAAGTTCTTAAGAGAGTGCTATACTAGGAAAATTAAATACAGAGACACAAAAATAAGAGTTCAAAAACTAAGAAAATGGCCAACTTAATTGTAGGGACAAGTGTGGAGTTGAATATTATATTTCAGAATTTAATCTGGAAGATCGAACCAGAAGAGAAGATAGATAAAGTACATGAGACTGAACTGGTGAAATAGCATTTTTTGACTTTTGACTAAAACATTGTTGATTTTCTTCTAGGCTTTGTTTTCCAGTTTTAAAAATTTTTATCCTGTCTGGAGCGGCTGATAGATTCATGAACCTACTATCTAAACAGAATCCTAACCTGTTTCCTAGCTTTAAGTTTTAAGCAAAGTTCCTTAGCATTTCTTTGACTTATTAAAGTTAAAACTGCTCTTCTTGGGGAAAAAAAATAAACCTGGCAATATGGGGGCTGGCAGGTGGCATGATGGTTAAGGGCACTTGATTCCTACATGACCAACTGTGATTCAAGTCTTGGACCTGTTGGCTTGCTTGCTTTCTTTATCTCTCTGGTCAAATTAAAATAAATAAATCAAAAAAGTTAAAAAATAATTATTTAATTAATTGCATTTATTATTATTATTATTATTATTGTCGTGATCATTTTTCAGTTTACCAGAGAGAGACACAGAGAGAGAGAGGGAGAGAGAGAGAAGAAAGTGAGGAAGCAAGCCACTCGGTCTGGGACTTGAACTATGATTGGCCATGTGGGAGTCCAGCACCTTAACCATCATGCCACTTGCAGGCCTCAACATATATTAAAATTTGAAAATGGAGTTCAAAAGTATAGTTTATGAGAGAAGTACAGTAACTTGGGATAAGGTTTAAGTTGTATTCATAGGTTACAATTTTGAGGGTAACACTTTTTTTCCCTCCCAGTGGATGTGTGCACTTAATGATGGAGAGAGAAGCACATCCCAGTGAGGTGTCATGCTACAGTCTTTTTCCCGCCATTTCTTCATCCCATCAGTACATTGGGCATACAAGCATGTGCACCTGCTGTGTTTTTCAAGTTGACAGGGACTGACTCAAACCGTGATGGAACACAGAGGATCCAGTTTTTGTTTGTTTGTTTTTGAGAGAGGTTTTTGCTATAGGGTGCCTGTGCTCGCCATAAAGGCAGAGAGAGACAGAGAGACGGAAAGCAAGAAATCACCCCCCAGGGCGGATAGCCACTCCACAATCCCTTCTCCTCCATTTTCCTCTCGGGATCTTGGGCACACATGCACACATGCCTGGCGTGAGTTTAAGCCACTGGGTCTGCGAGTTGAACCGCGCTCAGCTACATGGGAGTTCAGCGACATAGCCATTATGCTAACTGCTGGTCCCAAGGATCTAGTTTTCTATACATAACACTTAACTGCTGCATTCCATGGTGACCCAAAAGTAGTACATTTCTTTTTAATTATTATGCCTGTATTTCCTTTTGTCATTTTGTTTTTCTTTCATTTCTATTTGATATTAAACTTCCCATATCCTTAATGAAGTCTAAAATTATTGTTCAACAACTTTGGGAATTTTGGGATTTTTATTTGCATATTCGATAATATAGAAAGCCAGGTATAATAAAGTATTAATTTGGATCCCACTGATTGAGATGGCAGTTCCCAGTGCAATAAATGTTGTAAACAGGGACCAGCAGATGGTGTAGTGGTTACATCACTGCACTCCCATGCAGTCAACCACAGTTTGAATCCTAGACTCAGTGACTTAAAACTCAGGCAGGGTCTGTGTGCGTGCATGCCCAAGATCCCAAGAGGAGAATGGAAAAGGGATTACAGGATGGCCATCCCTCCTGGAGGGTGATTTCTTGCTTTCTGTCTCTCTGTGTCTCTGGCAAGTAGCAAAAGTCTCTCTTAAAAAAAAAAGTGTAAATAATTTCTTTTCATTTCTGACATTTTTTCTATTAATTTACTCTAATTTATATATGAGTTGCTTTTTTAAGTTTTTTCTAATGAAAAATTTTAAACATGTGCAAAGTCAGCAAAATCTTATAATGAACCCCTTTGTACCTGTCACTCAGCTTCAACAACAAACCTTTTGCCCTTGTATCAGATATACATTTACCGCCCCCCCCCTTTTTTTTCCCCCCCCCTTTTTTTTTTTTTTAGGTAAAACATAGATACAGTGAAGTGAACAAATCTTGGCTATAGAATTTTGGGACCAGCTGATAGCATAATGGTTATGTGGTTGGACTCCTGTGTGGTCAACCACAGTTCAAATTCCAGACCTGGTGGCTTAAAACTCAAGCCCGATGTGTGTGCGTGGGTGCCTAAAATCCTGAGGAGAATGAAAGAAAAGGGATTGTGATGTGGCCATCCCCTGGGGAGTGATTTTTTTGCTTCTGTCTTTGTCTTTATCTCTCTGGCATACACACAACGCCTGTAGCAAAAATCTCTCTCACACACACAAAAAGAATTATTTCATTTTATTTGTATTATTTTTAATTTGTTATGGGACATATATACTCAACAGAGAGAGAGAGAGAAAGTGAGAAAGCGTGGGACCAGCAGATGGCATAATGGTTATGTCGCTGGACTCCCATATAGTTGACTGTGGTTTGAGTCCTGGACCCAGTGGATTTAAAACTCATTCCGGGCGTGTATGTATGCATGCCCAAAATCCCAAGAGGAGAATGAAGGAGAAGGGATGTAGTTTGGCCAGCTCCCCTGTCAGGTGTTTTCTCACTTTCTGTCTCTCTGTCTCTCCGGTGAGTGCACATGCCCTATGGCAAAATCTCTCTCTTAAAAAAAAAAAAAGAAAAAAATTAAAAAAGAAAAAAGTGAGAAAGCAAGCTGCCAAGGTCTGGGACTTAAACCACATCAGCAATGCGAGAGTCCAGAACCCTAATCACCACACCACCTACTGCAGAATTTTGACATATGGATTTGCCCATGTAACCTATACAGTTTAAGAAAAAAGAACATTTCTCTTTTTTTTTTTTTTTTTTGGAGAGCTTTTTTGCTATAGGACTAGTGTGCTCGCCAGAAAGAGAGACTGAAAGCGAGAAATCACCCCCCAGGGGCGGTGGCCACGCTGCAATCCCTTCTCCTCCGTTCTTCTCTCAGGATCTTGGGCCAACACGCACCCGCGCCCGGTGTGAGTTTTAAGCCACTGGGTCCAGGATGCGAACCGCGTCCAGCTACATGGGAGTCCAGTGACATAGCCATTACGTTAACTGCTGGTCCCAACATTTCCCATTTTCATCTTCTCAGTCAGTAGCCTCTTTTTTTTTTTTTTTTTTTTCTTTGCCTCATCTGATGAGTTTTGTCTTTTCTGAAACTTAATGTGAATGGAATCATTTTATTTCAGTGAAGTCATTTTCACTAGACTAATGGCATAACAAGTAGCCCCTTTTTTTTCCTTTCTCATTTGTGTTTCATTTTCTTCTGAAGAAAAGAGCAGCTGAGTCCTGAGTTGGTGGCGGCTGCATCTGCTGTTGCGGAATCCCTCCCTTTCGACAAGCAGACGACTAAATCCGAACTGCTCAGGCAGCTCCAGCAGCATGAGGAAGATGTAAGGGCACAGGTAGACGGAAACAGACCTAAAATTAGGTGAGTAGATCAAATAATTATGTCAGTAGTTCATATCTCAAAATAGGCGTTTTCATGTGGCTGGTGAGTAATATGAACAAATAATTTTGATATATACTGGGTCGTTGGAAAAGTCATAAGGTATTTTTCTACATTTTACTATGTAAAAATGTGTCATGACTTTTCCGATGCCCCAATACATTTATGTATAAAATATGCCTCATACATGGAATTTTAGCAGTTTGATTAAAAAAAAAGAAAACCTGAATCAGGTTATAGTTTTTGAATGGCTAAACTTTTCTTTTAGGAAGTTACAGTTTCTTATCCTTAGAAAAGAAATTGTAAATCTAGTGATTTATTAAATAAGTAAATGATAGAGTGAGATATTATCTCTTTTTTTCCCAGCTAAATACTTTGCCAGCTTTATGTGTAATCTTCAAGCCTGTTTCCCTTTCTTTCTTTCCTTGTTCTTATGTTTGAACTGACACCTTTCCGCTTATCCTCTTCATCTCTCATCATTTTGTGCTACATTATACTATTTGCTGCTCAGGTACAGTAAGTGGTGGCACTGCTTCATTTTGGAGAATAATCTAAATCAATTGAGACTGTGTACCAGAGTTAATATTCTCACTAGGTGACTGATTTTACTTGTGATTGAAAAATTACAAGTCAGCACTAAAATGGCTGAATTTCCATTTTAATTTAGTTTGGGGGTATAGGTGGTAGATACAGATACTGATTGTACTTTCCTACCAACTTCTTTGGGTGTTTGGTAATTGTTTATAAGTGATACTTTTATGTTATACATAAAGATTTCTGAGGAATATCTTTAAAAGAGAAGTATACATAAATCATAACAGTCTTGGTATGTTTATGTTAATATGTGACATTTTTAGTTTAAACTTAACTTTTTGTACTATATTAGAAACAAAATGAGAATTAATTGTTGATCCAGCAATTGAGATGATGCAGGCGGTAGGACACTGTTGTGCCATGCTGGAACCATTTGGGAAGACTGAGGTTTGGTTCCCAGGTTGACTTGAACACTTTGGGATGCTGTGATCCTTGCCGGCTAGGAGACTGGGGGGAGGGCTTCAGCATAACAAGGTCCTGTCAGTGGTGTGTATTTGCGTGTGTGTGTGTCTCACTCTCTGCCTACTCTCTCATAAAAGAAATGAACTTTTAAAAAATGTTAATAGAGAGAAAAAAAAAGTATCAATCTCCTATTTGTGAAAGCTCTAAATTTCTAACACCGTTGATCTTTTTTATTATTTCAGTTTCAGGAGCATAGTATCAGATATGAAAGTTGCCAGATCTGCAACCCCCAGAGTTAGTACAAGACCAGAGCATCAGATTCAGTTTGATGAAGGAGTGGACAGTGACCTTGGCCAGAAGAAGACGGCTGATCTTAGAAAACGGTATTCAGACTTTGTGGTCTGTTGGGTTTTATGTGTATGGTTTGTTTTTACATTAGCTTTGGGTATGCTTTGTTGCTTGTGTGTATTATCACTGGTAGGTGTCTGAGCATTATTGATGCATTAGTCTTCTTCCTGTTCCTATACCATTTCCTAGAGAGGGAGAGTTCTTGGTTTAGCAGTCCTTCATTTTTCTTTTATTTTTAAAATTTTCTCAGAGGGCTGTGTACTTACCAGAGAGACAGAGAGAGAGGGAGTGTGAGATAGCATACTTTGTGGGAAATGGTCACGCCACAATCCCTTCTTTGCCATTTATCCCTCCTTTCAGGATTTTGGGCATGCACACACGTGCACCCAGTGTGATTTTCAAGTTGCCAGCTTCAGAATTAGAACCACGCAGTCAGCCATGGGGGATTTAGTTGCTTTGAGCACTAGGCCATGGACTTTTGTATTTAAAGGCTTTTGCCATAGGGTGTATGCACTAACCAGAGAGAGAGACAGAGACAGTGAGAGGGAACATGAGAAATCACCCCCTGAGGGGACGCCACGCCACAGTCCCTTCTTCATTCTCCTCATGGGATCATGGACATGCACGTACGCGTACCCAGCATGATTTTGAAGCCACCAGATCTGGGACTTGAACCACAGTTGGCCATGTAGGAGTCCAGCGACATAACTACTATACCATCTGCTGGCCTCCAGTCCTGTATTTTTTTTTATATTGTCAATTAAAATGAGACCTGCAGGGACCAGCAGTTGGCGTAATGGCTATGTCTCTGGACTCCCATGTAGTTGACCACAGTTCAATTCCCTGACCCAGTGGCTTAAACTCACGCCAGGCATGTGTGCATGCGGGCCCATGATCCCGAGAGGAAAATGGAGGAGAAGGGATTGTGTCGTGGCCATCCCCCCGGGGGTGATTTCTCGCTTTCTTCTCTCTGTCTCTCTGTCTCTCTGTCCTCGTAAGCGCACGCGCCCTATAGCAAAAACCTCTTCAAAAGAAAAAAAAATGAGACCTGCATCATGCCTATCCACACAGAGTAGGGGTATCCTGATTCGGAATAAGTGATGCCAATTGAATTCTGAACAAATGAATGTTTTGCAAGAAGTGTTCTTTTTCATTATGAATGTTGAGTTTCTAATACTGCATATACCGTTTATATCTTATATATGGTTATCGTTCATCATATGCTAGAAAAATAACACAGTCTAAAAAACGAAGAAAAAGGGACCAGCAGTTAGCATGATAGCCATGTCGCTGGACTCCCATGTAGTTGACTGCAGTTTGAGTCCCGGACCCGGTGGCTAAGACTCAACGCTGGGTGCATGTGCTTGCATCCATGCGTGCCCAAGATCCCGAGAGGAGAATGGAGGAGGAGGGCTTGCAGCGTGCAGCGTGGCCATCCCCCCAGGGGATGATTCCTCACTTTCTATCTCTCTGTCTCTGTCTTTTTTTCTGGTGAGCACACACACCTTATAGCAAAAACTTCTCCAAAAAAAAAAAGAAGAAAAAAAAAAGAGGGAAGGAAAAACGAAAGATGTCTGTGTAATACCATAAAGTCGTAGATTATTTGTGGCAATTTGAATCTGCTACTTTGTGATTTTTAAAGGTGTTAAGCCTTGGCTTACAAAGTTATTTTGTAATAAAAATTTTTCTGTATTTTTTATAAAGTTTCTGATTTTTTACCTTTTTTTAAAGTTTATTTTTTTTAAAAAATGAATTATTTTATTCAACTTTATTTATTTATTTAGAGGGACAGAGCAAGAGGGAGAGAAAAAGAAAGTGAGAAAGTAAGCTGCCAGGTCCAGGACTTGAACCACGGTCAGCCATGTGGGAGTCCAGTGCCCTTAACCACAATGCCACCTGCCAACCCCATGTTCTTTCTTTTCTTTATGTCCAGAAAGTGATAGTTCAGGAGGAAGAAGCAGATACTTTGACCTGGTCTGACAAAAATGAATTGATCTTTATAGCAGGATATGTTCACAATTGGAATATTTTCAATGCATTATATATTCAATGCTTTTAACTATAATCTGGGGGATTTAATTTAGCTATTTCTGGGTGTTTCTGATTTGTACAGGAAGATTACAAAAGATAGCAGTTAATATAATAAGTTTGAGAGGTTACAGTGATTTTGGCCTATTTTTTGACTTACTAACTTAAAGTAATTTGTATTTGTGATATATTATTGAATAAAATAGACATGTTTGTAGAGCATGCCTTTGAATATTTAACTGAATCTATTTATCCTTAAGAATATTTAACTGATTCAGTCTTCTTTGAGTTTATAATGGTGAATCATAGCTTGATTTTTAACATTATCTGCCATTAAAAATTAGAAAGCAGAGGCCAGTTCCATGACCCAGTGATAACGCACTGCTCCAAAGAAGCAGGATCCCCTATGGTGACTGGTTTGAGTCTATGGCCCAGTCAGCCTGAAACATGCCAGGCATGGGCAGGAGTGCCCAGGATCTGTAGATTTGCTTTATTGCTTATGTGTATTATCGCTGGTAGGTGTCTGACATTATGGATGCATCAGTCTTCTTACTCTGGAGGTTGAGAGGAGGGCGACTGCAACATGACCAGATCCTGTGGAGGGCGCTCTTCTCTTCCTCTCTCCTTCACAATTCTCATGCGTGCGCACGTGCACTCTATTATGAATAAAGAAGAAATTAGCAGCAAGGGAGCAGCTAAAAACATAGACACAGGGTAGGGTGTCCGTGCATACAGTGATTGTGTTAAAAAGCTGACAAAGCTAACTGAAGGGGAACAAGGAGAAGCAGTAGTGATGCCCCAAGTTGTTTGCTCTGATGTGAGTTGGGCTAAATCAGGGCAGCCCAAGACAACACAGGTCAGATCACCAAAAATATATTGCAGGCTGATTGGTTTAGTTAGAGACTGTATGAGTCACATTGGCCTGCTGGGGAATCTTGGTACTGCCACTGACTAATTCTGTGACTGGGGCAACTTTTTTAGCCTGCATCAGTCTCTCTCCACAGTTGTAAAATATTGAAAGTGAAACCCAGCTTCAGTGGGTTTTTTGAAGAATAGAAAAGAAGCAGGTGCCAGTTACCTAATACTATGTGAATTCTCAACAAGATTCTGTTGCCTTCCTTTTTAGTACATTCCTCTTCTAAAGTTCCACGCTTGGCCAAGTCATTCCCCTCTTTACTATGAGTTGCTCTAATCCATCGTGCTGTTTGTACGACATGCAATTGAGGGAGATGAATCAAGGCACTTAGGATAGTTACAGAGCATAAGAGCCTTTGTTTACAAACACTTGGGAGGCTGCTAGAGGACAACTTAAATCATCCAAGATCACTCTTATCTCATTGTAATAGAATATTTTCATTTTCCCAGTTTAGTAGAAAAATGTAATTTGATCCAGCAAAGAAATAAAATTATTTTTTAAATTAATCCTCCAGTTTATAAACTGCCAATAAATTTATTTAGGTAAATATGTGAATTGATGCATAAAACCATTAATTAAAGTATAACTAGAGGGGCCAGCAGGTGGCATGGTGGTAAAGGTGGTTTCCTACATGTCTGACCATAATTCGAGTCCCAGACCTGGTAACTTGAAAATCACACCAGGCATGCGTTTGTGCATGCCCAAAGTCCCAAGATGAGAATGAAGAAGTAGGTATTATGACATGGCCTTTCCCCCGCAGGGGGTGATGTCTCACTTTCTCTCTCTCTCTTCCTCTCTGTCTCTCTGTCTCCGGTGAGCACACACACCTTGTGGCAAAAACCTAAAAAAAAAAAGCATAGCAAGAAAAGTTACTTATTAATTCTCTGATATTAATTTCAATAATTAGGTAAAGAAAGTTAATAATTATTTTTAAATTGCAGAACAACTTTTTTGTAAAGGGAATGTTTTGAAAGCCATATATGGTGGCAGTGCTGGTATTCTCAGTTACCTGAAAAGCTGAAGCCAAGCGATGGCAACATAGCCAGTCCTCTCTAACAAAACAGCCCCACTAAGCCAGCATGCAGTTGAGTCCCACATGACCAACTTTGTGGTTCAAGTCCCAGACTCTGTGTCTTAAAAAATACCAGGTGCATGTGTGCATGTGCCCAAAATCCCAAAAGGAGAAGGGAGGAAAAGGGTTGCTCCATGGCCATCCCCCTTCAGGGGTGATTTCTCACTTTCTCTCACTATCTCTGGCACGCACATGCACCCTATAGCAGAACTAAAAACAGAAATGCCCCCCCACACACACACACATGTGCAACTTCCCCACAAAAAGGGATGTTTTGATTTCTTGTGTAGTCTTTATACTTCGTAATTAAGCATTGTCGTGTTTTCTGCCCTTAAAAACAAGTGATGACTTTAATAACTTCTGTTCAGTATATTTGTGGAGCTTCCCACAACATTAAGTTTTTCAAAACTTAACATGAAAACAATCAAATAAAAAGTAGAACAAATTAAGCTAATTTTTTAAATAGGCATTTTGGAAATTAAGCTGCTTTAACTGCTTTGTTTTGTTGTGAAGCAAAAATTCAAAGTGCAAATGTTTCTTATTTTAATCTGTCCCAATAAACACAAATTAGCTAAACTATCTGGTGTGGGTTTGTGTAATTATTTTTAATTTCTACATGGAATATTTCAGGTAAATTTTTTCTGTAAACAATTTTTTGAAAATTGTTTATATATTCAGTAATTTTTTTTTCTCTTTCTAGTCTTAGGAGAAGTATATTCAAGGGGAAGAGACTTAATATTTTTGACACTAAGGCAGTTACCGAAGAAGCACCTGAACCAGGTTTGTTAAGAAAAGAGTAACACTCATTCTCAGGTGGAGAAATATTTATCTGTCAAAGATGTCCTTAATGTTTTGATTGTGTAATTGTCGAGTATTTTGATAGTCTATGCTGTCATTGGCCTGAATTCTGCTTATTAATGTAGTTTTTGAATGTTACTAGTTTTAGTCAAGTTTCTCCATTGAAATGTTGCTTCTGTGAGACAATGGAAGGTAGGTACTACCACCTGCATGAATTCAGAGACTGCCTATTAATTTGGGTTAGAACATTAATAATCACCCAGAATTTGTAATGCAAGCCTGTGTTGTTACATAAAGATAAATAAGCTTTAATTCCTGCCTTTAGAGAGCTTACTATCTAAAAAGGGGTAATAAACATATATAGAAGTAACTTATTGATGGGGGAAAAACAGATGGCATAATGCTTATGTCGCTGGACTCACACGTTGACTGGTTTGTCCTGGACCTGGTAGCTTAAAACTCAAACTGGGTGCTTGTGCTCAAGTACCCAAAATCCCAAGAGGAAAATGGAGAAGGGATTGCAGCATGGCCATCCCTTCTGGGGGGTGGTTTCTTGCTTTCTGTCTCTTTGTCTTTGTCTCTCCAGCAAGCACATATGACCTATAGCAAAAGTCTCTCTCTCAAAAAAAAAGTTACTTATTGAAGGGGTGTTTTTGAGAGGTTTTTGCTATAGGGCACGTGTGTTCGCCAGAAAGGCAAAGAGAGGCAGAGAGACAGAAAGCGAGAAATCATCCCCCAGGAGGGATGGTCATGTTGCAGTCCCTTCTCCATTCTCCTCTTGATCTGGGGCATGCACACACATGTGCCTGGCATGAGTTTAAGACGCCAGGTCCAGGACTCGAACGAGGGGACTCCCGCTACCTAACCATAACGCCAACTGCTGATCCTGGGATTTTTTTTTTTAAGAGAGATTTTTGCTATAGGGCATGTGCACCCATCAGAGAGACAGAGACAGAAAGCAAGAAATCACTCCCTGGGGAGGATGGCCACGCTGTAGTCAAAGGGAATATATTTAACAGGCTTGTAGTGATCTTTTCTTTTTTTAAAAAAAAAAAAATATTTATTACATTTTATTTATTATTATTTTAATTTGACCAGAGAGAGTCATGCAGAGAAAGAAGGAAAGTGAAAAAGCAAGCCACCAGGTTCAGGACTCGAAACACTGTCAACCATGTGGAAGTCTAGCACCTTAACCACCACACTACCTGTTGGACCTTGTAGTGGTCTTTTTTTTCAACATGGTTTGTCTTTGTTCTTTATTCTCCCTCTTTCTTCTTTGTGTAAGAAGTCACATCCTGGGACCAGCAGTTAGCATAATGGCTATATCACTGGACTCCCATGTAGGCGACCACGGTTTGAGTCCTGGACCTGGTGGCTTAAACTTACACCAGGTATGCGTGCATGCGTGCCCAAGATCCCAAGAGGAGAATGGAGGAGAAGGGATTGCAGCTTGGCCATCCTCCCTGGGGAGTGATTTCTCGCTTTCTGTCTCTGTCTCTCTCTGTCTTTCTGGTGAGCGCATGCACCCTATAGCAAAAACCTCTCCAAAAAAAGAAAAAAAAAAAAAGAATTCACATCCTTCGGATTCACTATTTTAGGTCTAATTAAAAGAAATAAGAGCATTCTCTTGCTTGATATTGAATTTGCTTTATTTGTGAAATAAAGAAGAAATTCAATATGAATATGGAATGTGCATTGTTTTTAAAAAACGAATTATTTAGTTTTATTTATTCATTCCTTTATTTTTTATTAATTTGACCAGAGAGAAACAGAAAGAGAGAAAGTGAGAAAGTAAACCACCAGGCCTGGGACTAGAACCGTGCTCGGCCATGTGGGAGTGTCCAGTTCCTTCACCACCATGCCACCTGCTGGTCCCTGGGATGTGCATTTCTAAAGAATAGAAGTTAGCATTAGACATTGGTAGAAGTACTGTATGTAATGGGTTTCTAGGCCAGCTTCCAATGGCTACTTTAATTTCTCTTCCTCTTATTTACACATCATGGGGGTGGTCTCCAAAAAGTTTATGGAAAATATGTATTATGACAAAAGTATTCATCGATTTCAAAAGATCTTGCATCAAAATCAACTCATATTTTTGGTTGTTGTTGTGTTTTGTTAGATAACACATGTACTCACCAGAGAGATAGAGGAGAAAGCACCCCCCCCACCCCCCATGGGGAATGGTCATGCCTCAATCCCTTCTCTTCCATCTCTCTCCCTTCATTTTGGGATTTTTCCTCATGTATATGCGCTCAACGTGTTTTCTAAGCCTCCAGGTCTGTCTGGGACTCAAACTGTGCCTGGCTGCTTTAACTACTATGCCATAAAGCCAGCCCTCAACTCTTTAATTCTTCATTTTTTTTCATAAACTTTTTGAAGTCCCCTCATGTAAACATTAGACTTCCTACTAGTCATTAAACTTGGTATTAGGGGCTAGGTCTCATTCTTGGCTTGTATTTCTTGTAGTAGCTAGCGAAGTGGCTTACAGGTCATAGAAATTGGTTATCTTAAATCCTTTTTTTTCTTTACAGAAACTGAGCTATAAAATACATACCTTTATAGAGAAAAGGAGTTAATTCAATTAGATTTGTTCATTTGAACTGAAGGTAAAGCTAAAAGAATCACCCCCTTTTTGTACTGTGAAAACTAAACTCCTGTGTGTGATGAAAAGGAGATACAGAGTGCACAGAAATAGAGAATGAATTGCCTCTCCCCTGTTCAAGTGGCAGCTGTTAAGCTTGCTTTAAAAGGGATTTGTTGTCAGGGCAGCTGCTATTGTCCACCTAGTGAACAGCCAGAAGAGACCCTTGGATTCTCAAAAGGAGCCAGCTTACTTTTTAAAATCTAAAATCTCCCTGACATTAGCTGACAAATCACTGGAGTTTTATGTATCTTACAAAACAGTACAAAATGATTACATTCTTAAGAGGAAAGCAGCATACACATTTACTCTACCAAAGCTATACTTGGATGAGTGTAAAGAATGTCTTTTGTTCCCAATTAAATACAAACATAACGACAATGTGGAAACTTAAATTTAGCAATTGTTCATTGCTATTTCCCTATTACCTAAAATAGTACCTGCAATATAGTTGGCATTCAGTAATTATTTATTGACTGACTGAATGAATGAATTCTGTTCCATGATTTCCTTATTTGTTCCCTGCTAATTCTTTTTGTGTTAAAGAATTATTTAATTTTATTTATTATTATTATTCAATTTGACCGGAGAGAGAGAGAGACATGGATTGAGAAAGCAAGATGCCAGGTCCAGACTCGAAACGTGATCGACCATGTGGGAGTCCAGCACCTTAAGTACCACACCACCTGCTGGTCCCCCCTACTAAATTCTTAGCCACTGATACAAAGAATATAGTCGTTGGCCCTATGAGTTATCTTAGAGTAATGTAGTGACTATAGGCAGTGTAGCTTAATGGAAAGAGACTTCATCTTGGGTCAATCTGGATTCAAACTTACATCTACCACTGTAGCCTTTCTGAATCTCCTTTCTCTACCTGTGGAAGGGAGCTCCTACATTCATCTTGAGAATAAAATGAAGTCATCTAAGAGAAGTGTCAGGCACAGAGCCTGGAACACAGTTGACATTTGATAAATGGCTACAACTGTTAGCAAGTATAATGATGAGGCAGAGATATAGGTTGATCAGTGTCAGCTAGATAAAAAAATAAATAAAGCATGTAAGCAAGATAATTATCTCATTATTTTGATTACTCTACAAATATAGCTAATTAGGCATAATTACTATGATCTTTCCATTGTATCAGATAATCAAGTCCAACATATATCCACCAGTCAGTGTGGTTAGACATGTTCATGCAGATAGTATAGAAACAGATTCAGAAAAAGCAAAAGAGGGAGACTGGCAGGTGGCGTGGTAGTTAAAGCCACTGGCCTCCCACATTGTTGACCTCGGTTCGAGTCCTGGACCTGGTGACTTGCTTTCTCACTTTCTCTCTCTCTCTCTCTCTCTCTCTCTCTCTCTCTTTCTCTCTCTCTCTCTTACTCTCACTCTCACTCTGTCCCTCTCTGGTCAGATTTTTTAAAATTAATTAAATAAAGATAAATTTTTAAAAATAATTGTATAAAAAAGAAAAAGCAAAAGAGGTAAAATGAGGCTTACTTAAGTAGAAGAATAAGTGAGCTATTTGTTGGGATACAGTAGTAGGCTTGGCAAAAGTGGGTAAAAGAGGAAGGCAAGAGAATAAATCATATATGATCTATGTCTTTGGTCCAGGGTTTTATTCCTAGGAATTTATTCCAAGGAAATAACTACAGATATGCATAAAAGCATAACTGCAATTATATTCATTACTTCAGTGTTCAAAAGAGAATATATGAAAATAATCAAAATATTCAGTATCAGGCAGGCCAGCAGGTGTCATAGAGGTTAAGTTGGTTGACTGTGCACTAAGTCCTGGACCTAGGCTTGAAAATCATACCGGGGGACTAGCAGTTGGCCTTATGGCTATGTCGCTGGACTCCCATGTAGTTGACCACGGTTTGAGTCCCAGCCCCAGTGGCTTAAAACTCATACCAGGCCCATGTGTGTGCATGCCCAAGATCCCAAGAGCAGAAGGGATTGCGGTGTGGCCATACCCCCTAGGGGGTGATTTCTTGCTTTCTGTCTCCCTGTCTCTTTCTGGCGAGCGCACACGCCCTATAGTAAAAAAAACTCTCAAAAAAATAAAGAAAAGAAAAGAAAATCATACCAGGTATGTATGTGTGCTTGCCCTTAAAATCCTAAGAGGAGAAGGGATTGTGGCATGGTGATTTCTCACTTTTCTCTCTCTTTCTCTTTGTCTCTCTCCAGCAGGTACACATACCCTACAGCAGAAAGCTTAAAAAAAATTAGTAATGGGGGATTGAATGTATTGTAACTATGTACTAGGATATTAATGCAGTCGTTAAGTGAGGAAAACAGGTTATTAAGCTATAGGATCCCAGTTTATTTTTTAAAAAAAGATTTTTTAAATTTAAAATTTTGGAGGGAAAAGTACATAAGTTCTTTTTATAGTTTATCGAGGTATAATTTATTTGAAACAAACTATATACATTGAAAGTATATAATTTGATGAGTTTTAGCAGATATAAAAACCCATGAAATGGCAAGTAATGATGCTGAACATGGGGCTAGCAGGTGGCATGGTGGTTAAGACATTGAACTTGCACATGGCTAACCACAGTTCAAGTCCCAGACTTGGCAAAGTAAGAAATACTTTCTCTCTTTCTTTCTGGTCAAATTTTAAAATAATTATTTTTATTATTATTTAAAATAATAATAAAATTTTAAAAAGGATAAATGGTACTGAACATTTCTATCACTCTCAGAAGTTTCCTTGGGTTGACCTGCCCCATGGCTTGGTGGTTAAAGAAGCTGGATCTCACATGACCTGCTGCCAGTGGCTTGGTGGTTAAAGAAGCTGGATCTCACCAGACCTGCTGCCATTCACATCCTGTTTCAGCAACTTTAAAAACATGCTGGGAATGTGTGCATGAGTGCCAGAAATCCTGACAGGCAAGAAAAATGAAGGAAAAATGATTATACTATGACCATGCCTCATTTGGGGGTGTTTCTCCTCTCTGTCTCTATCTCATTCTGGCAGTGTCTGTCTCTGCATATGCCCTCTGATCATTTTTTTTTAAGTTGCCTTGTGTCCTTTTGCAGTCAGTGCGCACACACTTGAGTCTTCTGGCAACCATTTCTCTCTTCTTGGTTCGTATAGATTAGTTTACATGCCTTCAAATTTTATATAAATGGAATCATACAGTGTATACTCTTGGTATCTACTTCTTTCACTCAGCGTAGTGATCTGAGATTTATTCGTGCTGGTACATGTACCAGCGATTCATTTTTATTGCTGAGTAATATGTAATTATATGACTGTATCATGTCCTGTATCCATTTACCTATAAGTGGAGACTGGCATTGTTTCCAAGATTAACCCCAACTTTGGTTATTACAAATAAAGGTTCCATGAACCTCCGTGTACTTATCTTTCTGTGGACACAAGTTGTCTTTTCTCTTGAGTAAATACCTAGGGGTGAAATGCAGTGTTAAATGACATGTGTATTTTTTTAAAGAATTATTTTATTTTATTTAACTTTATTTATTTATTTATTTACTTATTTAGATTTGACCAGAGAGGGACAGAGTGAGAAAGAGGGAAAGCCAGAAAGCAAGCCGCCAGGTACAGGACTCAAACCTCAGTCGACCATGTGAGAGAGTCCAGTGCCCCCAACCACCATGCCACCTACCGGCCCCAATAGGTGTATTCTTAACTTTTCAAAAACTGTCAGTCTAGGGGCAGGCCATTACATAATGGTTAAGGTGGCTGGATCCTGTTTGAGTGCCTGCACTGTTTGCATCCTGGACCTGGTGACTTGAAAAACATGCCAGTGCATGTGCCTACATGCCTAAAATCCCTAGAGGGAGAAATGAGCGAGGGGACTGTAGTGTGGCCATGCCCTATGGAGGGTGCTTTTTCACTCTCTTTCTCTCTCTGGTTCTCTCTCTCATCTTTCTCCAGCAAATGCATGTGCCCTCTGGCAAAACTTAAGAAAAAAAGAAGAAGCCTCAAAAGTATTTTCTAATGTGGCTTTGTACCATTTTAAATTCCAACCAACAATACTGGTGGGGGGACCAGCAAATGGCATAATGGTTACATTGCTGGACTCCCATGTAGTCGGCTGTGGTTCAAGTCCCAGACCCAGCAGCTTAAAACTCACACCAGGTTCATGTGTATGTGTGCCTAAGATACTGAGAGGAGAATGTAGGAGGAAGGATTGCTTCATGGCCTTCCTCCCTAGGGGGGTGATTTCTCACTTTCTGTCTCTCTGTCTCTGGCAAGCATATGTGTCCTATAGCAAAAACCTCTCTCTCAAAAAAAAAAAAAAATGACTGGTGGGAATATGACTTGTTTTTTAAAGCCATCTTAAATTTCAAAAGCAAATAAATGACTAAAACGTGTATCTGTTGATATAATTAGCCAACATGAGAAAACTTTACTCATAGTGTTGGTTATAAAAATTAAATGAGATAAAAAGCATTTAGCACAGAGTAAGTGTTTGCTGTCTGTTAGCAGTTATATTATTATTCTGTTAATTTAACTCCTTTGGTCTTTACTAGAGGTAGTACATAAGTGACCTATTATACATATCAAGGTCTAAAAACATTGATTCAGAGCTGATAATAACATTTTTAAGAAGAAAGATATTTAGTTGTCTTTTGCTTACCTAAAACGTTTTTATTGTCCAGAGACATCACCTTCACTTTGGGATGTGGAATTCGCTAAGCAGGTGGCCAGAGTCAGTGAACAGCCTTTTCAGAATGGGTTTGAAGAGATGATCCAGTGGACAAAAGAAGGGAAGCTGTGGGAGTTCCCAATTAACAATGAAGCAGGCAAGTATTAACTTCAAAGGCTTATCATAATTTATTGAGATTTATTTTTGGCAGGTCTACACTTCGAATATAAGTTTTGTTTTCTCTTTGCTGTAGGGCACATGTGCTCGCCACAGAATCAAGGGAGAGAAAGAAAGTGATAAATCACCCCCCTCCCCCCCCCGGGATTGGCCATGCCACGATCCCTTCTCAGAATTTTGAGGCACTTATGTGGACATCTGTGTGATATACTAGAAAATTTTGCAAGGGACCAAATTTGTGACACTGTGATGAGGCACTACTCAAGAGAAGACAGATCCCAGGAGCTACCAGGTGGTATAGTGGTTAAGGTGCTGGACTCCCACATGGTTGACTGTGGTTTGAGTCCCAGGCCTGGCAGCTTGAAACCCTTGCCAGGTGTATGTGCTTATGTGCCCCAAATCCTGAGACAAAAATGAAGGGGTGGGTGATTTCTCACTTTCTGTCTCTGTTTCCCCAGTGAGCGCATGTGTCCTATAGCCAAAATCTCAAATAAATAAATAAACTCTTTTAAAAAAATAATAAAATGAGATGACAGATCCCATGTGCTGACCAGTCTTCTAATCCCTAACTTGTCAGCCTGAAAAAAAATGCCAGGCATATGTGAAGTGTCCAAGTTCTAATGGTGTTAAGGATTACAGGAAGGTAATTGCAGCATGGCCAGATCCTTTGGTGGCTACTCATATTGCTCCATTTCTCTCCTGTAGGCATTTTGTCCTGAATAAGAAAAAATAATTTTAAATCTGATGTTCTTTCTTTTTTTTTTTTTGATTTCTTACCCCATTCCACACTGTCCTATTCTCATTTCACTTTACCCCATCACAACACACAAATGAATTTTCCATCCAAAATACACTGTGCATTGTCTCAATCAAGTACATCCACATATATGTTCTCAGCAAATAAAAAATATGGAACGCTTCACGAATTTGCGTGTCATCCTTGCGCAGGGGCCATGCTAATCTTCTCTGTATTGTTCCAATTTTAGTATATGTGCTGCCGAAGCGAGCACTCTTTCTTTCTTTTTTGAGAGGTTTTTGCTATAGGGAAGTGTGCTCTCTAGGCAGAGAGACAGAAAGCAAGAAATCATCTTCCCCAGGGGGGATGACCACACTGCAATCCCTTCTCTTCCTTCTCATCCTTCTCCTCTTGGGATCTTGGGCATGTATGCACATGCGCCCGGCATGAGTTTAAGCCACTGGGTCTGGGACTCGAATCACAGTCAACTACATGGGAGTCCACTGACATAGCCATTACGCCAACTGCTGGTCCCATGAATGCTTTTTTAAAAAAAAGTTAAAATTTGGGACCATCGGGTGACATGGTGGTTAAGTTGCTGGATTCCCACATGACCAACCACAGTTTGAGTCCTGAACCCAGAGTCTTAAAAATCACTCTGGGTACCTGTGAGAGGAAGCTAGAGGAGAAGGGATTACAGCATAGCCATCCCCCCCGGGAGTGTGATTTCTCACTTTCCCCTTCTCTGCCTTTATCTCTCTCTCTGGCTAATACATACACTCAACAGCAAAAAAAAAAAAAAAAATGCACACCTCAAAAAAAATTAGAATTTCATGTAATTCTAGGTATGTCATAAGGACAATCAAAAAGTAAAATTATATGGCAAAGTACATTATTCATTTCTGTGACATAAAAGTGTTGAGAACTGCAAATAACTTCTGGTTGCTAAGCAGAGTACTTGGTAAATTAATACATTGAATACTGGTTAAGAGATTATACTTCAGTTTTGGAGGATATTGCAGATTGGGCATTTCTATTCTAAGAATTCAAAATGCTTCAAAATCCAAAACTTTTCAAGTGCTTCCATGATGCCACAGTTGAAAATTCTACATTCATCTTCGTATGATAGACCCAGCTGCCATAACACAGTGCTCTGCAATGCTGGAAACCTATGGAAGATCAGGGTTCAGTTCTTTAGGTGACATGCATGCACACACACGTGTGTGTCCCTATGATTCTAACTGGCTGGGAAAACTAGAGGAAGAATTGCAATATGAGACCCTGTTGATGGTGCTTCTCTCTCTCTCTCTTTTTTCCCCAACCTCTTTCTCTTTTTCTCTGTCTCCCACGAGTGAAAGAAAGAGGGGCCCCATAGTGGCAGAGTGTAAAACACACTGTTCTATGATGCTGACCCACATGAAAAGGTTCTAGAGCGTATCTGGAGACCTTCCTGAGTAAGCTAGGCACACCTGTGCCCATGAGTTGGGTCCCATCCTCAAGATATCTCATTATATATTTAATGAAAAAAATCCAAAAATCTGAAAAAAAATCCAAAATTCTAAACATTCTGGTCCCAAGCATTATGGATAAGAGATATTCAACTTGTATAACTCTTGAAGTCTTAATGCTGGTGTGATTTAGTTATAAAACCATTGCATTAATGAGGTGCAAATTCAAACCAAAAATGTTGGGAGGCTTTTTAAATCTTACTGTATAATGTAGATGCTTTGAACTGTTAATGATGTGGGTACCTACTTTCCTGAGAATTTTCTAAAGAAGTTACTGCTTCCTTAATGAAAAGGGAAACGGTGTTACTCTTTTATTTATTTATTTATTTATTTATTTAAAATATTTATTTAATGTTATTTGCTTTTTTGTTTTGTTTTGTTTTTAATTTGCTACAGGGCACACACACTCACTAGAGAGAGACACAGAGAGAGAGAGAAAGTGAGAAAGCAAGCTGCCAGGTCTGGGACTCAAACTGCAGTTGTCCGTTTAGGAGTTCAGCGCCTTAGCCACTATGCCACCTACTAGCCCCCATTTATTTTTTTTATGGCACCCATGTTATCAGTTAAATGTTTTCATTGAGGTTTATAGATACATTTTGACTTTTAAAAGATCTGTTTATTTTTATGGTAAAATTAACCGAAAGTTGCAAACAGGTAAGTAATAGGGAAGCATAGTTTATATTTTAACCTCCCTGGTGTTAGTGGTATCATTTAATAATTTAATTTGTGACTTTCTTTCATGTGTTTTGATTAATAAGTGGAATGGAAGCTTAAATATCAGAAATATTTATTCAGATCTTCATAAAGCAATATTTTCCATAGGAAGACATTAGAAACTTACAAATCCTTTAGCAAATTATTAATATCTTATATATTTATATGACATATACAGTAATATAGCTTGCTGTGTTATATATGGTAATAAATATATTTCTTTAAAATGTTAAGATTTTTAGGGACCAGTAAGTGGCATATATCTCTGGACTCCCATGTGGTTGACCACTGTTCAGGTCCCAGACCCAGCAGTTTAAAATTTACGCTGGGCACATGTGTGGACGTGGCCACACCTCTGGGAGGTAACTTCTTGCTTTCTGTCTCTCCAGCGAGCACACACACCCTATAACAAGAATTTCTCTAAAAACAAAACCAAAAAAAAAGTTAAGATTTTTGTATTCTGGAGGGTATCAGGCAGGGTAAGGTTTAAAAAAAAAAAAAAAAAAAAAGACTAGACTTTTTAGTTCTACGAACCTGGCCCAGTTCTATCAGTTATTAACCATGTGTCTTTGAGGAAATTAGCTTTCTGAACCTTAGTTTACTCGTCTGTAAAATTAAAATGAAGGATTGCTCACATATGAAGGTAGGGATTGGGGTCGGCAAGTGGTGTGGCAGTTAAGGCCCTGGATTGCCATGTGACTGACCATGATTTGGGTTCCAGACCTAGAGATGTGCTTTCTCTCTCTCTCTCTCTCTCTCTCTCTCTTTCTTCCTTCCTTCCTTCCTTCCTTCCTTTCTTTCTTTCTTTCTTTCTTTCTTTCTTTCTTTCTTTCTTTCTTTCTTTCTTTTTCTCTCTTTTTCTTACTCTCTCTCCCTCGTCAAGTTAAGTAATAATAATAAATTGGGGTCAGCAGGTAGCATGGTTGAGGTGCTGGACATTCCCACATGGGCAACCACAGTTGAAGTCCTGGACCTGGTGACTTGTTTTCTCATTTTCTCTTTTTTTCTCTCTGTGTGAATAAATAAAATAAAATCAATAATTCCTTTTTAAAAAAATCTGGGGACCAGCAGGTGGCATGATGGCTAAGGCGCTGGGCACTCACACATGGCTGACCATGATTTGCGTTCCGAACCTGGTGGCTTGCTTTCTCTTTCTCTCCTTTCTCTCTCTCAAATTAAAATAAATGAATGAATAAATAAAATAAATAATTTTTTTAAAAAAGAAATACTAATAATAAATTAATTAATTTTTTAAAAAAGAGTGAGGATTAAATAAAGTTATTGAGTTGTGCAGCACAGTGCTTGGCATATAATACATATGAATACATATGAATAAACATTACCTCCTTTCCAACCTCCTGTAAAAGTACAGAATTTTTTTTTTTTAGAGGTTTTTTGCTTTAGGGCACCTGTATTTACTAGAGAGAGACAGAAAGAGAGAGGGAAAGTGAAAAACCACCCCCCAGGGGGATGGCCACGCCACAATCCCTTCGCTTCCATTCTCCTCCTGGTATCTTGGGCATGCACATACACTTGCCCAGTGTGAGTTGCAGGCTACCAAGTCCAGGACTTGAACCATGGGCGGTCATGTGGCAGTCCAGCGGTGTAACTGCTACACCATATGCTGGCCCCTAGAATTACAGAATTTTACAAAGAAAAAAATAAATAAGAAAATACAATGTGTGATATTAAGGAAAGGTTTCATTTAGTCTTAGAACATATTTGAATTTTACTTTTTTATGAAATATGAGTATTTCAAGTGTTTATAGTTAAAAACATGAGTTAGGGGCTAGGTGATGACATAGTAGTAAAGCGTGTCATTCTCCAAGGCTGACCTCCCAGAAAGTCTGGGTTTGTGGTACATATGGTAGGCATGCGCATGCTTGTGATTGGACATCAGTACCCTGGGGCTAGGAAGTAAGTGTGCTGTCTCTCTATCTCTCGTGGAAAAAAATAAACTCTGAAAACCCAAGAGGGTTGGGGGCCAGCTGGTGGCATGGTGGTTAAGGCAGCTAGGTCCCACATGGCCAACTGTGCAATTTAAGTCCCCAACCTGATGACCCGAAAAAAATTGCATGCTGAAACCCCAAGAGGAGAATGGAGGAGAAGGGATTATGGTGTGGCTCTCCAGTGAGTGCACATACTCTATAGCAAAACTTAAAAAGAAACGGGGCCAGCAGGTGGCATGGAGGTTAAGGTGCTGAATCACATATGGCTATCTTTATGGTTTGAGTCCTGGACCCTGCTGTTTGAAATTCACACTGGATGGGTGTGTGCGTACATGCCCAAAATCTGAAGAGGAGAGTAGAAAAAAAGGGATTGTGTTGTGGCCATCTGCCTGGAGGGCAATTTCTCACTTTTCCTCTCTCATTCCCTTTCTTTCTCCCTCTGGCAAGTGCACATGTCTCACAGTAAAAACTAAAAATGAAAAAAAGGGAAAAATGAATATTGGGGTATAGTAACATGTGACTTAATTCAGCAGATACAGCAACATGTAGTGGTTTAGGAGTTCAAGTTCCTGAGTGAGTCATAAACGGAATCTCTCCAAGCTTGCTTCCTTTATCTCTAAAGTGATGAGAATAATAGGGCTTATCTTATGGGTTATGAGAAACAAGTGAGCTTATACAAGTGAAATGTAATTGTCATTCCTGTTTGTACAACAATAACTCTGTGAGGGGATTTACTACTGTAACTGTTTTCTGTTCTCTGCTCTAACATTTTTAAATCTTAAAATATTAGCCAGACCCCACATGGCCAGCTGTGTGTTTCAAGTCCTAGATCTGGTAGCTTGAACTCAAGCTGCTTGCACACATACATGTGCGCATGTGTGTGTATATGTGTGTCCCAAATCCTGAGAGGAGAATGGAGGAGAAGGGATTGCCGTGTGGCCATCTCCCCTGGGAGGTGACTTCTTGCTTTCTGTCTCTCTGTCTCTCCAGTGAGCATATGATGACTGCTCTCAGTTGGCCATTGTCCACTTATGATGGTGTCCACTATGCTCCTCATCTTCAAGGTTCTCCTCTCCTTTGCTAAATTTCTTGAATCACCATTGCATTGTACATTCATTAGCAGTTCCTGGGCCAGTGTATCGTTAACATTGCAAGTTGTCTCCACTCTTTTACAACCCATTTGGAGCTATGAAATAGAGTAAGAAAATTGCTCAAATTTGTATTTTGTCTAACATCATTTACATAGTCAGAAATACATATAAAATAAACAGCAAGTAATAAATCACTAGTACAAAAATAAAAGCGAGAAATGCATGTTAAAATTATATGTAACACCGGGACCAGCAGTTCTCATAATGGCTGTGTCGCTGGATTCCCATGTAGCCGACTGCAGTTTGAGTCCTGGAACCGGGGGCTTAAACTCAGGCCGTGCGGGTGTGTATACGTGCCCAGGATCCCCAGAAGAGAATGGAGGAGAAGGAATTGCGGCATGGCCATCCCCCCGTGGATGATTTCTCGATTTCTGTCTCTCTGTCTCTTTGTCTTTCCGGCAAGTGCATGTGCCCTATAGCAAAAACCTCTCAAAAAATAAACAAAACCGAACAAACAAACTCACGCTGGGCGCGTGTGTGTGTGTGTGTGTGTGTGTGTGCCCAAGATCCCGAGAGGTGAATGGAGGAGGAGGGATTTCAGCGTGGCTATCCTTCCTGGGCAGTGATTTCTTGCTTTCTGTCTCTCTTTCTCTCTCTCTGGAGAGCACTCAGGCCCTACAGCAAAAAAATCTCTCCAAGAAAAAAAAATTTATATGTAACACAACCACATTTATTTAAGGATGTATCCAATATCAAACAGATTTCAACAATGCAAAACCACAGCTGCATTTGCACCAACCTAATCTGTATCGTTTCAATGATTTTTAATGTGTTAAAGTTTTTCTGTGTGTGGTCCAGGATATGACCTGGCTGGGTGAATGATCTATGAGTGCTTGGAATTTGTTCTGTAGTAATTGGTGTTTTGTGGCGTCAGTTTGATCCTGCTGGTCTTCAGTTTATATTTGTCTTTGCTAATTTTCAATCTGGTTGTGCTATCAGTTGCTAATAGTGGGATATTGAAATTCCTAGCTATCATTGTGGATTTTTCTCTTTCTCCATTGTTACTGTCAGAAAGTTTTTTAGTGTTGGGAACCAGCAGTTAGCGTAGTGGCTATGTCGCTAGACTCCCACGTAGTCGACCGCGGTTCGCATCCCGGACCCGGTGGCTTAAAACTCATGCCGGGCATGTGTGCGTGCGTGCCCAAGATCCCGAGAGGAGAATGGAGGAGAAAGGATTGTGACGTGACCATCCCCCCTGGGGGGTGATTTCTCGCTTTCTGTCTCTGTCTCTGTCTGGCGAGCACACGTGCCCTATAGCAAAAACCTCTCCAAAAAAAAAAGAAAGAAATTTTTTTAGTGTTTAATGTATTTCAAAACTGTTATTTGATACATAAATCGTTAAGATTGTTAATTTTTTCCTTGGTGGATTGATCCTTCGTGTAATGTTCCTCTTTCTCCCTAGCAATTTTCCTTATTCAGAAGTCTACTTTATAGCCACTCAAGCTTTTCTTTTAAATTAATGTTTCCAAGGGAACCAGCAGTTAGCGTAATGGCTATGTCGCTGGACTCCCACGTAGTCGACCGCGGTTCGTGTCCCGGACCCGGTGGCTTAAAACTCACGCCGGGCGCATGTGCGTGCATGCCCAAGATCCCGAGAGGAGAATGGAGGAGAAGGGATTGTGGCGTGACCATTCCCCCTGGGGGGTGATTTCTCGCTTTCTGTCTCTATGTCTCTCTCTGTCTGTCTGGCGAGCGCACGCGCCCTACAGTGAAAATCTCTCACCCCCCCAAAAAAAAATTAATGTTTCCAAGATAACCCCTTTTATATCCTTTCATGTTCAAACTACCTAAGTTGTGTTCGAACTTAGTTTCTTGGAACCAGTAGATAGTCTAAGGTTGCATTGCTGGACTCCCACGTAGTCAACTGTGGTTCGAGTCCTGGACTCCGTGACTTAAAACTCACACTAGGTACATGTGCGTGTATGCCTAGATCCCAAGAGAAGAATAGAGAAAGGCTTATGGTGTGGTCATCCCCCCTGGGGGTGGTTCTGAGTTTGCATCTGGAGACCTCCTTGGTATCCTAACTGCACACACGTGCCTCTGATCCTGGGCTGGTAGGGAGTAGATCACAGCATCAGGACTCTTTGAGGGATTTTCTCTCTCTCTACTCATAGAAATAAACAAACCTTGGGCCGGTAGGGGGTGTATTGGTTAAGGAGCTACACATGGTTGATCGTGTTTCAAGTCCTAGACCCAGCAGCTTGAAACTCATGCCGGGCACATGTGCATGTGTGCCCAAAATCACAAGAGGAGAATGGAGGAGAAGGGATTGCAGCAGAGCTATCTCCTCTTCCCGGGGGAGAGAGGGGAGATTGATTTCTCACCTTCCTGCTCCTCCGCCCCCTTTCTGGCATGTGCATGCACCTTATAGCAAAAACCTAAAATTTAAAAAATATTTAAAAGTGGGGCCAGCAGGTAGCATAGTGGTTAAAGGTACTAGATTCTCACATTGATCAACCACAGTTTCAGTCCCCTGGCAATTTGCTTTCTTGCTTTCCCTTTCTGTATGTCTGGTCAAATTTTTAAAAATAATATTAACAAATGGAATTAAAGAAGTAAATAATTCTTCTTAAAAAAAAAGTTAAAAGTGACTGGGCCATCAGGTGGTGTGGTGGCTAACAAGTGGATTCCCACATGGTTGACCAGGGTTCAAGCCCTGGACCCAGCAGCTTGAAACTCACACCAGCACATGCACATGCATGCCCAAAATCTCAAAAGGAAAATAGAGAGGGAATTGCAGTGTGGCCATCCCTCTGAGGGATAATTACGTACTTTCCCCCTCTCTGTCTCTTTCTGGTGAGCACAAGTGCCCTATGATTGAAAAACAAATAAGTGATTATTGATTTGTTGGAGTTAAGTCTCCCATTTTATTATTTGTTTTCTGTTCGTTTTCTCTGTTTATTTATCTACCTATACAAAAATATCTAGATAAAGATGAATACATAGTTTTTCTCTTTTTGCTAGAGAGCACAAGCACTCATCAGAGAAAGAGGAGAAAGCACAACCCACAATGGGAGATAGTCATGCCACAATGCCTTCTCCTCCATGTCCTTCCCTTTGGGATTTTGGCCAGTCTGAGACTCGAACTACACAGCTGTTTTAACACCACACAACTGACTAGCCCCATATTTATTTTAACACGTGGTTTGAATAGTTTTCTCAGTGGTTGAGCTAGATATTAAGATATTTGGTATCAACAATTGCTGCTACACTTTGCACATTTACAGTATGCTAGATAGTATAAAATATATGCTCTGTGTAATCTTTATAAAAATCTGAGGAAGTTGCTATTTTAGTCCTCATATTTTGCCTGAGGAAACTTATGCTCAGAAAAGTTAATTTGCACAGTGTCCAGTTATTAATTTGGTAAAGAAACCTAAGTTTGTCTCCAAAGTTCATGTCTTTAACCATAATATTGTATTACCTCATTAATATTAATTTCATAATACAGTTTTTATATTCAAAAATGTAATACACTTTGTCTCATTTTCTAGGTTTTGATGATGATGGTTCAGAATTTCATGAACACATATTTCTGGATAAATACCTAGAGGATTTTCCAAAACAAGGACCAATTCGTCACTTCATGGAGCTGGTGACTTGCGGCCTTTCCAAAAACCCGTATTTAAGTGTTAAACAGAAGGTCGAGCACATAGAGTGGTTTAGAAATTATTTTAATGAAAAAAAGGACATTCTAAAGAAAAGTGACATACAGTTCAATTGAAGACCATGGAAATTTTTATTTTGAATTGCTGGCAATGAAAATAAAATAATTTTGCTAGATTTCTTATATTAAGTATTACATCTGGTTTGACAGGAATAAATGTTAAATTGTTTAAAAAATATAATGACTGGGACCAGCAGTTAGCGTAATGGCTATGTCGCTGGACTCCCATGTAGTCGACCGCGGTTCGAGTCCCGGACCCAGCGGCTTAAACTCACGCCGGGCGTGCCCAAGATCCCTAGAGGAGAATGGAGGAGAAGGGATTGCAGCGTGGCCATCCCTCCTGGGGGTGATTTCTCGCTTTCTGTCTCTCTGTCTCTGTCTGTCTGGCGAGCGCACGTGCCCTATAGCAAAAAAAAAAAACTCTCCAAAAAAAAAAATGTATATATAACGACAGGGCTGGCAGGTGCATGATGGTTAGGGTGCTTGACTCCCACATAGCTGACTGCAGTTTGAATCCCGGCCTGGCAGCTTGCTTTCTCACTTTCCCTTTCTCATCTCTCTGTCTTTGGTAAAAATTAAGACATAAATAATAATAACAAATTAAAAAATAGAATTAAATAAATCTTAAGAGAATATGATGTCCACTGAAAAATACGTTTTTTAGTGCCTGCGAATACATGTGCATGCATGAGAGAGAGTAAAAGAGAGAAAGTACTGTCTGATGGGTCCTGGTCATACTACAGTGATTTTTTTCTCCTATTCTTCATCCCATCACAATTCTAGCGTACATTTGTTTTTCCAGCTGCTAGGGCTAGTACTTAAACACCTGGTAAGCCATGTGGACTCTTAACTTCCCCTGTGTAACACTTATGCTATGGGGCCAACCCAGAAAAATACTCTGACATGGAGATATAACAATATTCATAGGTTCAAAGAAAATCTGAGGGGCCAGCAGGTGGCATGTGCGTGCGTGCCCCAAACCCTGAGAGTAGAATGGAGAAGGGACTGTGGTGTGGCCTTTTCCCCTAGGGGGCGATTTCTCACTTTTCCTCTCTCTGTTTCAATCCAGAGAGCACATGGCAGAAACTGGGGGAAAAAAAAAAAAAAAAACCTCTGAAAATTAGTAACAAGTTTAAGACAATTCCTCTTATCCTTTTATTTTTTAAAGAATTATTTTATCTAACTTTATTTATTTAAATTTAGCAGAGAGGGAAAGAGCAAGTGTGTGTGTGTGTGTGTGTGTGTTTGTGTGTGTGTGAGAGAGAGAGAGAGAGAGAGAGAAGGAAAGTGAGAAAGCAAGACACTAGGTCCAGGACTAAAAATGTGGTCAGTCATGTGGGAATCCAGCCCCCTTAACCACCACGCCACCTGCCAGCCCCCTCATCCTTTAATTATAAAATAATTTATTTTATTATACTATTTTTTGTATTATTATTTTAAATTTGACTAGAGAAAGAGGGAAAGTTTCAAAGCAAGCTGCCAGGTCTGGGACTTGAATTGTGGTCAGCCAAGTGAGAGTCCAGTGCCTTAACCACCATTAACCTGCTAGACCCCCAAGTTTTTCTTATCATTCAGTGATCATACTTCTTTGAAATATAATTATTAGCCATATAGCTGACAAGATCAGAATGCTATAACAGTTGAGTTGATTTGCAGAGAGATTTATAAGCACAGAATGTTTTTATTTATGTACGTACATATCTAAATTATATTTCACATCGAATTAATTATGTTCTTATCTAAATCTGGGACATAGAGATATAATCTTATAGAAATGAAGGATTTATTCTAATCCTGTCTTGCACTTTAGGCATTTATTTTCCATTATAGTGCTATGTCATGTGACTCAACTTTGATTCAACTCAAAGGACTGAGGATTCTAAAAAAACTCAGAACAAGATTTATAGTGGCCCCAGGCTAGTAGTGTTCCAAGTCCCTGGTACAAGTCAACAAGAATCACATGTTAAGGAATCCACCAAAACCTGAGGCTTCAAATTATAAAACACGTAAGGAAACAATCATGAATGAGTATCAGAAACAAGACAACAGAATCAGACTGTAAAAGTCCTCTGGGCTTATCCAATTTGGAATATAAAATGTGTGTAAGATAGAATAAATAAAGAGCAGGGTACTTTTAAAGTGAAGAAGATGTGGAGGGTAAAAAATAAAATTTAGGGGCCAGCAGATGGCATAATGGTTACATCACTGGACTTCTACTTGGCCAGTCACAGTTCGAGTCCTGGACCCAGTGATTTGAAAATCACGCCAGGTGTGTGTGTGCGTGTACCTACCTAGGAGAAGGATGGAGGAGAAAGAATTGTAACATGGCTATTCTCCCTGGGGAGGTGATTTCTCACTGTCTCTGTTCCTGTCTCTGGTGAGCACATATACCCTATGGCAAAAACCTCTTTAAAAAAAAGTCATGTTTCTGCACATTAGACACTAGAAAATTGTCCTGAGGAAATTGTTCATATGCAGCAGTGGAAGAAAAGTAAAAAAAAAAAAAAAATTCATATAATCAGATTGTCAGAAAGAGAGAAAATACTTCAGAGTCTATCTTTTGATTGGTGAGAATTTTTTTTACAATTCATGAAGGATACCAATTCACAGTTATATAGCAATCTCTTGGTCATATACAGAAACTATTCCCAATAACAGCAGGATACATTCTTTTCCAGACACAAAGAAAATTTTTAAATTTTTAAATTTTCATTTAGGTATTTGATTCATTTATATTTATCATAATTATTGCTATAAAGAATATTTTTCAAAAATGAGAGCTAAATCTTTTTATCCAGTCAAATAAATATAAAAGGGAAAAATCTTATGTTTAAAGAAAGCTGGTGTACCTATATTATTATTATTATTATTGTTATTATTTATTTAATTTTATCTATTCGTAGTAGTAGTAGTAGTAGTAGTAGTAGTAGTAGTAGTATTTCCATTTTACCAGAAAGAGGGAGAGTGATAATTAGAAAGCAAGCTTCCAGTACCAGGACTTAAACTATGGTCAGCCATGTGGGAGTCCAGCACCCTTAACCACCACACCACCTGCTGGCCCCAGGTGTAGCTGTGTTAATACTGGGGGAAAGTAATCTGAAAGATATTAGACATTTTTAAAATTTGATTTATTCAGAAGATATAAGAGCTGGGCAGTGACATTCAGTAAAATGCAATGCTCTGCAGTGCTGACCCACATGGGAGGGTCTGGTTCACATCCAGAGCCCTCTGTGAGTACATACACTAGCATAGGCATACCAGCACTGACTGAAACCCGCATGGATTGTGATGTCAAGACTGTTGGCGGTGCTGCCCCGTTTCTCTCTCTGTCTCTTGCTTCTGGAATAAATAAACTTTAAAATGCACATGCACACACACACAAACCTGATAACATGGACTCAAAATATATGAAGCAAAAAGTTGATGGGGCCGGCAGGTGGCATGGTGGCTAAGGGCTCTGGATTCCTACATGGCCGACTGCAGTTTGAGTCCTGGACCTGGTGGCTTCCTTGCTTGCTCGCTCGCTCTCTCTTTCTCTCTCTCCTCTCTGGTCAAATTGAAGTAAATAAAGTTTAAAATAAAATCTCCTTGTCTATATTTTTATATAAAAGAAGAGGGGGTTCCAGAAAGTTCATGGAAAATGTATGTTATGAAAAGCTATGCATGGATCTCAATATTTTTTTGCACTGAAACTTATACTTTAATTACATTTTTTCATGGATTTTTTTTTTCCTTTTAATTTCCAGAGGCTGTGTGAACTCATTAGAGACAGGAGAATGCTTCCCCCCACCCTACCCCCTACACACACACGGGGGATACTTACTATACAATTTCTTCTCAATTTCTCTATCCTGTCAGGATTTGGGGCATGCACATACACATGCCCAGCATGCTCTACAAGCCACTGGGGCCAGGATCTGAACTGCAGTTGGCCATAGGGGATCCAGCTCCTTTAACCTTTAGGCTATTGGGCCAGTCCTCCACAAAATTATGAAGTCCCCTTATACAGAGAAATAGACAAATCTGGCCAGCCCTTGGCATGGTGGTGGACACGACAAGATTCCATATGACTGGCTGTGCAGTACGTCTCAGACCCGAAGGCGGGAGTGTGTGTGCCCAAAATCCTGAAAGGAGAAATAGAAAAGGGATTGCAGAGTAACCATCCCCTGTGGGAAATGCCTTCTCACTCTTCCTTCCCCCACCCCACAGGCGCATATGCCATCTAGCAAGTTTTTTTTCTTTTAAAAATTATTTTATTTAACTTTATTTATTTTAATTTTACCAAAGAGGGACAGAGTAAGAGAGAAAAAAGAGAGGGGGAAGGAAAGTGAGAAAGCAAGCCTCCAGGTCCAGGACTTGAACCACAGTCGGCCATATGGGAATCCAGCACCCCTAACCAACATGCCACCTGCCAACCCCCATAACAGGTTTTTTTGGGGGGAGGGATTGTGAACTCAATGGCAAGCAGGGAGGCGAGGTGTGCACCAAGGCCAAGATGCACTCTTCGAGGGCTGGGCTGCAGCTCCCAAGGCCACATGCACTGCCTGCCGCTCCAGGGCACTTCAGGCAAGCAAGTCTATCAGCGAACTGTTGGACCTGGCTGCAAAGCCGGGGTAGATGGTGGCCGAGATTCTGGAGATGGCGAGCAGTATACCCATGACAACAAAAAGACACATCATTCCACATCACCTGCAGCTGGCCATCCACAACAAGAAGCTCAACAGGCTGCTGAGCAAGGTGACCAGTGCTCAGGCCAGCGTCCTGCCTAACGTCAGGCCATGCTGTTGCCTAAGGAGACCCAGAGCCTCCACGGGGCCAAGGGCAAGTCGAAGTCTGGTATATTTTGTGGAACCAAAACCTTTCTCAACTAACAGGCTCTATGTCTTCTCAGAAAGAACTTAACGTGTTCCTGTAGGGAGTGGGAAAAAGATAACAGGTGATCTATGTTGCAAGCAAGATGTAGCAAATGGCACAAAATCTTGGTGATGCCTCTGAACCCAAAAGTTACTCCTAACACATCAAAGTCAAGAAACTTGAATTTTCCCTTTGCCTGTTGCCATGGAAGGGGAAAGCATTGCTGATGACCGATTATGGAATCCTTTATCTCATGTGCTTTCATCTTT